CAGCGCAGCCCGGCTCAGCCCAGCCCCGAGCCCAGCCCCGAGCCCAGCCCGGCTCAGCCCAGCCCCGAGCCGCAGCGCCCCGCGGTGCCCAAGGGGACCGTGCGGAGCAGGGCAGCGCGGCCGCCCCCTCTGCCGCCCAGAAAAAGCAGCCTGGGGCCAAAGGGGCCCCGGCTCGGGCTGCTCCCGACCCCTGCTCCCCAAGGAAACCCCCCGGCTCTCACCTCAGCGGAGCCGCGGGCCGTTTTCTGCCTCCTCTCGAGAGCCAGGACATCCAGCGAGTGGAGCAGGAGACGCGGGGCCAGCAGAGAAACCCCACGTGGTACGAGTGGCGCAGGAACCGCATCACGGCCTCCGTGGCGCCCAGGATCGCCAACAGCAGGTTCGCCAACGGCAAGACGGACGAGGTGCCCCAGTCGTACCTCAAGGCGGTGGTGAGCTCGGGCCCCGGCGTGCAGACGCCAGCCATGTCGTGGGGCATCCGCAACGAGAAGGCGGCCGTGCAGGCTTACGAGCAGCTCAAGTCGCAGCAGATGGGCAGGCCCGTGAAGGTGGAAGACTGCGGGCTCTTCATCCACAAAGGGAAAGAGTGGCTCGCGGCCAGCCCGGATGGAGTCATCAAAGAGGCAGATACAGGGAAGTCCCTGGGGCTACTGGAGGTCAAGTGTCCCTACAAGCACAGGAACAAGACGGTGAGAGAAGCCTGCAAGGACAAAGATTTCTGCCTGCAGCTGGACGGAGACTCCTACTCGCTGAAGAGGGATCACTCCTACTACACGCAGGTGCAGTGCCAGCTGGCAGCCGCCGGCTTCCAGAGCGCCGACTTCGTGGTGCACACCAACAGGGAGACGGCCATGGCGCCCGTGCGCTTCGATCCCGAGTTCTGGGAGGAGACAGTGCCCAAGCTGGAGAAGTTCTACGTGGAGGCGGTGATTCCCCACCTGCAAGGGAAGGACGGCAGCTCCGCCTGGGCCAAGGAGGAATAGATCCGTGTTCCTCACTCCCCCGCATTTGGGTTGTTTGTACAGACCCAGCTTTGGCTCCTGTTACAGAAACGATGCCTGATTTTTCTGCTGTTCTTAGGCCATTCTCTGGCTGAGCCCTAGCACAACTGCACCCGAACTAGAGAAGTGTCACTAGCCAGGCCSTTGTTGAGCAAGGGTCCCTGCAAGGAGGCACTTCTTTCTGCCTGCTGAAGAAAAAAGTTGCCCGGAGCCAGGCTGGTTCTCAAGCCCAGCACTGTCCTGCACTGCGCTCCCAATCCCATCTCCAGTTTGAACCTGTTGCACTGTTTGATAAAAGCCTGCATGCATCTGGATCTCCAAAGCCAGTGATGTCTCTATGCTGGAATTATAGTAACTAGACTTACTTTGCAGAGGAAACTGAATGGATCAAGGAAAAAAAAARRRRAARRARRAAAAAAAAAAAGAAAATGAAAAAAGTTACTGCTATCAGGACTAAATTTCACTCCATGCTGGACATAGAGCCAAGGAAGATTTGTCAGAGCCCAAGAATAGAATGCAGCTTTTGGGCTGAGCCATTATGTGCCTTAACACTCCCAGCAAGGGAATTTGTCCCCTTCCTGCCTTTAGACCTACTATCCTTCRGAGTCAGCCCGTGACATTCCTGAAGCAGGGGCATTCACTTTGAAATGGCAGCTCCACGGGGCCTGGCTACAAATTCGGGAAGACAGAGCCCAAGAGGTCGACTCCATGATCATGAACCTCCAGCAGACGTTCCTGTAAAGCCTTCCCGATCTCCGCAGCAGGGAAAGGAGGCAGCTACGGTGCCGTTACCAGCGGCATCTTCTCTGTTAAATAAAGCATTAATTGGATCCGTGCTCCTGTGTCGCTTGTGCGTGCCGGCGTTGGCCCGGACAGGACAGTGCTTCCCTGGAGCGCCGYGGGGGCTGATGTGCCGCTCACAGTGCAGTGCCGGGGGGGCCTTCCAGCCCTCGGGCAAGGAACCCGCCTGGCAAAGCCACGCTGAGCTCCCAGTCCAGCCTGGGCTGCAAGTGGCACCCGCGTGGCCGGGCCGTGTCCCCCACGGGTGCTGTCACCAACACTCCATCCCCTCCCGTCCTTCCAAACCGACCCCTGCTTTCCCATATCCGCCGCCTCCCGCATTCCCACCTCACCTGCCATCGCAGCCCAGCCTGCACCCTTAGGCCATCCCCCATCCCTGTCCATCCCGTGGCCTCCCCGAGCCCCAGCCTCACCTGAGCCTCCGAGGAGGCAGCCACAGCACAAGAGACACAGCCCGGGAAACTCCTAGAAGGCCCGGAGGAAGGTTGCAGAGGAGGCCACAAAGTTAGGCTGAAGTCACTGAACTTATGGCAAAAGTACTTTATTATATACATATGACTCCAGCCACACTCCACAGGGCAAGGACCAGAATTTTACATTTTACAATTTTACATATCAATACAAAGTAACTATAAAAACATAAAGCACTTTTGGGGCCCAGGCTTTCCACAGGAGGAGAGAGGCACAGGACCAGTGTGGGGGTGCTGAGCAACAGGCAGCCGCCCCACACCCTCCCCCAGCTGTGGTCCCACAGTAACCAGATGTGCAAGTCAGAAAGAACCCAGTTTAGAAAAACAGTCATGAGACTGGCAAATGCGGGCTGTCCCATGCCCTGCTCGGGACAGCAGAGAACCAAGGGCTGAGCCAAGTGTCACCGGGCGAGGAGCGGGGTGCGTGTGCCCCGCAGAAGGTGCAGAAGGCACGTGGGCCAGGCTCTTTGGAGGGCTCGCGAGGAGGCAGGAGGTGGGATCCAACAGCCCGTGGGCACCGGGCGCCAGGGCATCACACACGCGCTGCCCGGAGGCAGGGAGGCTACAGGGAGCACCTTCCACGCGGGAGGCTAAACGGGGGCGTGCTGGGGCCCGYGCCTTCGGAGCGGCAGTTGCATAGCAGAAGGGCTCACAGGCCACCCGTGGTGGGACACCGCTGCCACCCCGCGTGTCCAGAGAACAGCGGCGCTCTCCGRGGCAGGGGCAGCTCGGAAACGCGGCCCGGCCGGTACCTGGCTCGCTCCGAGCTTGGGTCTCGGCATCCAGCTGGTGCTGAAGCAGATGCTTCACCAGAGAGACCCGCACGCAGGAGACGGCCACGGGCCACGAGATTCAATTGTTTTAATCTAGAAGCGGAAAACATCRAAAACTAACCGGAACGCTCTCCTGCTCCTGCCTTCCAAAGGGCTCCCAAGCCCCTACCCGTGCCAGCTTTGAGGATAACTGGTCGAGTCCCCTACCATAAATCCCACATCCCTTTCATACAGGAGACTTCAGTGCAACTGGAAAAATCTAAACCAGGGAGGACTTGTTAGCAAGAACTGCCTTGGTAACAGGCTAAAAGGTTGTTCCACAACGTATTTACAGTGGCTCTCGGCTGCCACACACACAACTGCAGCACCCTGGAGCTCACGCCGGGATGGGGAGAACCACTGACCTGTCTACTACGGAACACGTTTGCTGCGCTCTGCTCCTGACCCAACAAAACCATCCTGAGGCCTCAGGCGCAGCAACCAAAACCAGGAGCACCAGGGGACAAAGAACATCCGCCCTGTGCATCCTATAAGGCTGATCTGGCAGCTCCTCTGCACAGACCGTGCGGAGCAGCCCAGGCTAGTCCAGGTGTCAGCAGGGCCGATTCCTTCTCATCCCTCTCTAGGGAACACAGAGATTCCTGAAGGAAGTTTGCCCGGGCTGGGCCTACTCACGGGTCATTGGGGCTTTACCATCACAGCCCACCTGAAAGTCCTAGGCAAGGAAAGGAAAACGGTGAGGAAAAAAGGGAGAAAGAGGAGTCACATCTTGGGATAAGTGTAAGCTTCCACCACACCACAGGGAAACTACTGGAGCTAGGTTCTCCTTGGCTGCCCAGGGGGAAAGGCACTGAGCTGGGTTTGTGCAAGGACAGAGATGTTTCAGTGACCTAGTGCATGGCTGGACCACCCTCCTTTCCCCCCACACCTCTGGGGTAACTAAGCTCCATGGCCAACACAAGCCCCAGGGAGGAAGCAGGCGGCAGCTTCCAGGAGCTGGAAGTGCACAGGGGGGCCGTCCAGCGCCGTGGGCTGTCCCTCCCTCTACGATCACTGTGCATTGATTGTCTCGCCAAACTGGGCTGCAGCCTTCAGCTGAAGAAGAGGACCCCCAGCCTCCCTTCTCTGGAAGGGCTTCAGTCACAGAAGCGCTTGCGGGGCACCGTCCGGGCTCGGTTCGAGCGGCGAATCTCCTGCTTGGCATCGCGGCATCGCTGGCAGATGAAAACCTCAGGCACGTTGGATTTGCGGATCTTGGCACACGAGAGGTGGATCCAGGTAGCACATTCGTTACATTCGATCATGGGTCTCCCTGCGAAGGGCTTCAGGCAGAAGCAGGTGATCAGGTCCCAGGCATCATCATCTGCTCAGGGACAGACAAACACCRGTCAGGAACCATCCTATGGGCACCTGCAGAGCTGGGGCCAGGCTAGGCCCACAGGAGCGAAGCCTCCAAGCGCCCAGCACTGCCTCAACTGTCTTAGCCAGTTCCACCAGTGCTGAACAGAAGAGTCCCCCCACTTACCTTCTGCTTTGGTGTTGGGAGCGGCTGAGAATTCAACACCTGAAGTTGCAAAGAGAAAAAGATAAAATAAAGACCAGCTCAGTAAGGAATCCCTACAGGAACCCACTTTGAGCCACATTTCAAATCTAGGGAATAGAATGTTCTTCCCAAAGAGCTAAACATCTCCCTGGGCTTTCCTCTCCTGTTCTCCCAGGTCCCTAACGTGTTCCCTAAAGCTTCCTACTGGRAGAGCCCAAGACTATGAACAAGTGCTCCCTGCAGCTGGGGAACATGGATAGCTCCTGCTGAGGGGGGTCAAGATGTGGCATTGACCACAGGACATCACAACACTTCCATGCTTCCTAAAAACACCTCCTCGCGTACTCACCACTAAGCTGAGAACTTGCTCTGCTTGTATCTTCCCCCTCACTTTGGTCCAGGGTACTACAAGAACTAGGACTTTTCCTCCCTCCAGGACAGGGGTCGTGCTCCTTTAGTTGAGGATCGTCTCCTGCTGGCTTCTCAGTCCCCTGTGCTGCAGGCATCCAGTCCTTCTCCTCCTTCATCAGCTCCTCCAGGAGGGAATTGGGTTGGGGGTCCCCAGATGGGTTGATGGACGGCTCCAAGACCCGCTCTTTAAGAGGAGGCTCCTGTCCCCCCAGCGTGACCATCTCCTTCACCCGATCCTGATCAACCCCACAGCTCTTCCCGGTGCTCAGGGGGACTCTCTTCTCTGTCTCCTTCTCTAAAATTAGTTTCTTTGCYGGTGGTTTCTTCCTTTTCGTTTGCTGGGGCCTGACATCATAGAAGCTGCTGGTGAAGGCAGGACAGTTCATGAACAGGCTGTTGTCCACAGCCCCTTTGGCCATGACATTCCTGCTCCTCTTATCGTCTGTGAGGATGTGACCATCAGAGGAGTGGGACGAGGCCCAGCTATCACTGTCCTGAGTGCTGCCCGTGCTGTTCTGGGGACTCATGCTGCCTCGGTGCGTCCAGGGCTCATTCTGCAAGAGGGAAAGACGCACAACTAGCACCAGAGACCACAGCACTGATATTCAGCAGATAAAGGGGAAGGGGCCCCTTTTGCCCACTAACAGAACAGCTGAGGACGTGGACCTGCCTATGGCAGAGAACCCTCTGGCAAAGGGACACCCCCAAAGCCTGCTCACCTCCTCAGGGTACGGGATGTAGCCCGCGTAGGCCAGGACAAAGGTGCAGAACTGGTTGAAATCCTCCACAGTTCTCTGTCGCTTCTGCAACGGCTGCAACAAATGACACTGATTATTCTCCAGGTGCCTCCATCTGAACAAATAAAGTATCACAACCAACCCCAGCACACACGCCTAGATTAGCGGGAAATTATACAAGCATCTGATCCTCAGGACATCCATCCTTCCCACAGGTACAATCTAACCCGAGAGCAACATCCTTTCCTTCAAAATCCAGTTACCAGAGGGAGCCCCCAATAAAGGCAGCCTCGTGCTGTACTCTGCGGTTTCCAAGCCACCAGGGTCCCTGATGCTGGGGGAAATCCAGCCCCAGCCACACAGCCCATTGACTCAGTGCCACAGGAGTAAAGCAACTGCAGCTGGGACTGCATGGAGCGCTCGAGGATTCCCCTGCTACTGCAGGAATTAACCAGAAGAGTTCGGKGTAGCTGGGGACAAAGCCTCGGAGATTAAACTCTGCGGACCCCCCCTTGCTGAATGCCCTTGGGCTCTTACAGCCGAGTAGCAGCAGCCGGAGTTGGGATCCACTGGGAAGGATTCCCTCCCATGGAAACGCCGGGATCCCACTGCAGGGCGAGCCCCRGAGACAAAGGGTGAAAAAGCACCAGGCCATCCCTGCCGGCAACAGGTATGTGAGGAAAGAGCCAAGCGCAGACCCCTCGGAGCCAGCCAGGCTAATCCCACCCCTCGTTCCCAAGGGCCAGGGGGCACCGGAGCACAGGCGGCTGCCTGGCAACGGAGCCACAGGAACCGCCRGGGCTCGGGGCCCTCGTGGGGACCCCCAGCGCGCCCAGACACCCCAACCAAGCAGCAGGGACACCCCGAGGGGGCCGGCAGCGGTGTGGGGGACGCAGAGCCAAACTGCCGCGCTGGGGGGAGCGCCCGGCTCGGGGCCTCCTCCTCCTCCTCCTCCTGCCGCCGCGCTTTGAGCGGGCAGGGGGAGGCACCGCTGGGGTTAACAACCCAACCGGCACCACGGGGAGCCAAACTGGCACCATGGTGGGGGGACTGGGCACAGGTAAGGGGGCCCACAGCGCCGGAGGCTCCGTGCAAAGGGAGCTCGCGTGGCCTCCGGGCAGCGACGGGGGACAGGGACCCTCCGCACCCTGCACCGCTCGCGGCGCACCTCGGGGAGCCCCTTCCAGTGGGGAGCAGCCCCCCCTGCTCCCATGGGCCTCACCCGGCAGGAACATCCCCCCAACACACACACACACAC